GTAGTATTGGCCATAATCAAGCCATAATAGATATGATTTGCCTGCTTTGCGAACACGAACCATAAACCTCTGACCGCCGAAGCGAATGCGAGGCATCCCTTGTCTACACAATGCATAGGTTCCAAAACAAATTCTAATCTACTATCCTCCGAGTCAAATGTACCATAACATGTCAGTATTCAGTGTCCAATAGCACTATTTCCTCACTTTCAGTCTTTCTTTCCCGTCCTAGCATTATCATAGCTCTCGATAAACCACTTCACAGTGGTATCGAGCGCTATTTTAGAACAAATAAGCTTAGTATGGCTATGGAATAAATCAATGTACCTTGGTCAAAAGGCGTAAACTCGAACCCGCCTATCAATCCGAGGAGCTTTTCATTCGAGGCTGGTTTGCGGAACTGGCCGTCGGCGCGAGTGGTGTCGAACTGTCACGCGAATATAAAATGAGAGGGGAAGAGAAACTGAGCTGAGAGAGGAGGGCACATACGCTGTAAGCACCTTGGAACCCAACGGCTTTGACGATGGCGTCTGCCACTTCTTTGATGCTCACTTCTTCATTTTCGCCAGCTGTATACAAACACAATTAACAATCAAACACAATTAAACGGTCCGAAGGGAGAAAGCCCGAAGTAAAAGGATCGCGAACAAAATAGAAGTCGCGAACCGAAGCCACAAGCGTGAATGCAACCCAAAAATAACTCACCACTAAGAATGACAGGTTCAACATCGTCGTACTCCCTCAGCATCCATATGAACAATTTGGCGAGGTCGTAGGAGAATATGAATTGGCGGAGGGGCTTGCCCGTACCAGAGACGACAAAGGGGGTATTGTTTTCTGTTGCGGATAGGATGGAGTGCGTCAGCGTTCGTGTCGAGAATCCGTCAGATAAAAAAGTCATTGATTGGCGTGAAATATAGATGAGAGGAAAGGGGGAAATAGAACCAGCAGGAACAGGCGTGGACGTGAAGAGACAAAAAATCTGACTGACTTTTGGCGAGGTAGCATTTGTGAATGAGTCCTGGTATGACATGGGAATCTTCTAGGTCACTAGAGGGACAGACGTCGCGGTTAGATCGCTTTGTTTGGCACTGATCGATGCAAAGAACAGCAAAGAGATGCTCACAAGTTATCATTAGGCCCGAAAACGTTCGTCGGGATCGCAGAGGTGAAATTGCAGCCAAACTCTTCTTTGTACGCGCTATATCGCCATCAGCATTTGCACGCCGTGCTCACCACCAAAACCAAAACCAAGGAGAGCTAAAGAACGAGAAGCTTACTGATTCTGAACGTCAACCATCCTCTTCGCGTGGGCATACCCAAAGTTACTCTCATGAGGCGGGCCTGAGTGGATTTTCGTCTCGTCGAGTGGGTAGGTGACTTTATCCGGGAATACGCAAGTGGAGAGGCAAGAGATTAGTTTTGTAGTAGAAGGCGTCAGGTGTGAGGTATGCAATATATTGTCGTTGATTAGGATGTTGTCGCGGAGGAATGTCAGCTGGGGGACGAAGGTGGGGTTAGTGAGGAGATGGGCGATTGGAGTTACGATAAAGGCGTACTTTGTACTTCATGTTCTTGAATAGTCCACCGACTAAATATATCATCGATCAGTTATACTGCTCTTTCTTCCACATCATTCACTTCAACGCACCAAGCGCAGCCAAGTGGATGACATGAGTAGGTTTATACTTCTCGAACAATTTACGCGTCTGTTCTGGATTCCTGGATCACATCGCATTGCATCGCATAAAATCAGCGCCAATCCCACTCCAACTCATCATCACAAGAAAACAGCACCTACCTCAGATCACCCTCTTTCGAACTAGCGAACACCCAAGTCTCGTCCGGCTTCTTGCCAAACCTCGAATTTTCAGGTTCTGTCTTTATGACATATTCAATTGCTTTTCCTACAAGACCCGTTCCGCCTGTTACTAGGATTACGGTCGACATCGAATATCGAGGTTGAGGACAAAGTTTGAGCTGACAAAGGCAGAAGGTTGGCAGATGCCAATATATCGCTTGTCGGTGCCAAAAACAGACTGGCCAAATCGAGACCGATCCCGATCAACCAAACTCATTCTAATATTTATATCTCTGCGATCCTGGCGCCAGGTAGTTATACGTACCCTGCATTTCGACGTAGTCGACCAAATCATATGGAAAATCATATGATGACGATCACCCATTCTGAAGACCTACCTAGTAAGCTACGCTCGAAACCATCTGCCCGACTATCTAAAAGCTACCACGTCACCCGAACAGCACTTTGGAGGTAAGAGACATTGGGGTGTAGCTAATTGATATTGACAACGAGCCCTACAGTACTGTATTCTTACCGTTGCGGCTGGCACTAGCATCATCTCAACTATTCAGCGGCTATCTCCCAGGGTTTCTTCCTCGACGGTGCTTGTGATTCACTCGGAGGAGCTTCCTGAGGTAGAAAGTTATCCGTGAAAATGACAGCAAGGTCAAACAAATTGGGATTCACATTGATTGCCTCTGGAATATATTTGTTGTTTGGAATCTGGTCTGTTTTGCCTTCCTCGATCAAATCCTTGAGCTCCGCGAACGTCAGGGTGCGCGATTCATCAGCCGCTGAAGCAGAAGTGGTGGTAGGGTCGGTTTCGCAAATATTCTCAAGCGTTAGAGCATGTCCCGTTATCCTACAATGCGACATTCACTTCAGTTCCGGTAATGCACAAACCTGATAATAAAATTCACCGATTGAAGTAAAACAGCTCTGTTTTTCTGAGAATCACCTCCTTCTCAGTTTCAGTTTTCCCTTCCAGGACGCCATCTGCGACGATGCTGGCAAGACCTTGCTTGCGATCGTTGGCTGTTAGGACAAGGAATCTTGCGCAAGTTAAGTCAACTGCACCTGATACATCTCATCAGTTGAGAATGGGTAGTCTCTAAACAGTTTCACGACATCCACCACTGGAGGTGGCATCTGCTGCTCCATAGTGTAAGAAGGCTTAAGGTGGAGAGGAGTTGAGTGGCACTGACTCTGAATGGTCAGAGTACCGTTTAGGGTGCATTACTCACACGACGAAATTAATATATAACATATCAATGCAAACGGGTTAAAAACAATTCTCATACGTCTCAAGGTTTAAATTTGCACGAAGACGAAATTCCCGGGCTAATCTTCCGAGGCGAACTTACTCGCAAATTCGAGGGGCAAAATAAAATAGGCTGCTGAGCCACTGTAAACGACTACCAACGGTGGGGGTCGAACCCACAACCTTCAGCTACGGTCCATGACGGCAACGTAGGAAGCTGACGCTCTGCCATTGAGCCACGATGGCTCAAAACAA